AGACTCTCTTGAATAGAGTCTAATTCTATTGGCTTTCAAAAGCCAATAGGAATTGTCCAGGCTGTCTCTGCCCTGCTGAGCCCGCCAAAAGCCCCAATCTGCAAACGGTGCTGCAAGTTGTCTGCAGCGAAGGCGAGCTGTCTGGAAGCTTCCACCTCTCCCTGCTGAGCAACTACTAAAAATGTAAGTAAAAGAAGGCCAGAGGTGGGAGGCTGGTGGGCACAGGGAGGGTTGCTGGTGTGTGTGGGGCCCGGCGAGTGCCTTACCTCCCTTGTGCTGGGCCAGCTGGTGGCCCAGCCGGTGGTCAGCCTGCGCCATCTCTGCCACTTGCCAGCTACACCTCGGCCGGCACCATGCTTGCGTGGCGCTCCCAGGCAGGGAAAGTCCTCAACTTACGACTGGTTGGGTAGTCCTCGACTTACGACCGGTTGGGTAGTCCTCAACTTACGACCAGTTGGGGTCACAGCATTAAAAATGTTGAGAACCACTGCAATAGAATAAGAGGGAGTAGCACAGCTAAAGGGGGAAAAAATGGCAGAAAGACTTGTTTGGCAACCCCCGTGAAATGGTTGTTTGATCCCAAACGGGGTCATGATCCATAGGTTGAGAACTGCTGTTCTAGAGGTAAGACACAGAGAAGGGCACCGGGATTCCTTTTTCTCAGACCAAACATAGATCTTTCATCTTTCCTGCACCTTTCCTCCTTGTTCTCCTTGCTTGCTGGATGTCATTGCTGCTGCCCTGGCAGCAGTAGCGCAACAAGTACTTACTGCCACATCTGGTTCAAGCATGAATTCTTCCAAGTGTGGTAGTTAACAGTGGTTTACTGCTGGGCCCGCAGATGCCACTGCCCAGCAAGCATGGAGTTCCTTTGAAGAAAGTTGTAGCAAGGAAAGCAATATATTTGCACTTGATTTTGGGGGGCTGCAAGGAGGCACGAGGATGAAGCAGGCAAGAGGAAAATGGGGCAGGGAACCAAGATAGATTACTGGTGGGAAGATTGGCATGGTGGGAGTTGATGGTAGGCTAAGATCTCAGGGACAGTATCCCCCAAGATCAATATTGTCCTGAGCTATGTTGCCTTGCAAAGTTTTGGTCTTTCTGTCAGCCAAAGCAGGGATAGGGATATTTCCATGGAGGCACAGAGTCTTAAGGAAGTATGCACAGGGTCAGCCCTGGGTTTAGTCTGGCAGGTCACTGCCTTTCTTCAGGTTCTTCTTCATGTGACCCAGCATGTTTACCTAGTAGGTTTTCTTCCTTTTTCTAACTGAAAACACTAATGTCCTCCCACATCACCTTGATCAGGTTCAGTCTACCTTTGCAACAGGCTGGAATGAGAAGGTCTCTTGCTGTGAGGGGTTAGGGATGCATAGATGAGGTGAAGGACATGCACAAGTAGAGAACATCAAGAAGAGGACTTTTGGCCAAGTGCACTTGAATTAATAAATCATTACAATGCAAGACTGAATAATGAATTATAGAAAATAGCTGTATTTTTCTGAACTGTGCTTAATCTAGTGATAATTATATCTAGTGATAATATCATTAAGTATAAAATGTAGAGTATTAAATAAAATGGGGAAAGCAGAATTTTAATGTTGTTTTAAAAAGCTGCATTTTTTTCCAATCATCTTTAAGCTCATTGCTTTAAATATTTAAGTTGTTTTTCCCTCTCTCTTGCCCTGGATTAGCAGTTTTCTTCCATCACATAGTTTTGTTTTCATTCATATGCCGCCGATGTGGTTATTTGTTGAGAATTTCATTAATATAAAGAGATTGGAAGAGTGTCTCAAATTATGAAGAGACCCAGGGAAATTAATTCCCAACCACACATGCACAAAAGCAGGCATACTTCATTATCCTGCCATGATACTGAACGATTAATTATGAAAATAATGCTGAACTCAGGAAAAAGTAAACAAAAATTATGAGTATAATTCTGAAGAACTAGAGCACTCTTCAACAGTAACCTTAGTTCTGGTGAGCTAAGAAATGAAGACAAAATAAGTCTAGTATGAAATGCTCAGGACACCAGGAGCTTAATGTCTGCCATAAAACAAACGAACAGCAAAACTCTAGATTGTAAGGGGAAAGATAGTGACTTGGCTTATTTGAGATAAGCCAAATAATTTTGGAAGGAAAAATGAATGGCCAAATCAATAAACCAAAGGATTAATTTGCTTCAGTTTTTATTGCCTACACAATACCTACGTATCTTCCTTTCTCTCCACAATGTACCAAACAATTCTGAATATGACGATATCCTGTTTTAACAGCCATCCAGTTCAATTTAATATTAGAAAATAGAAAATCATAGAAAGGGAGAGAAATTACCTGAAATTGTCCATTATGAAAAAATTGTGTAACAATTATTATAAAATAATTTTAGCATATGCATATTGTATGTATACCAATGAAATCTTTTTTTCCTTTCTTTTGGTAATGTATTTCTCCTTTTATGATGAATGAGTAAAAACTGTCGGTCCACCATAAAGACAGATCTGTGGGCTATTCCCTAGGTTGTATGAAATCTATACAGAACAGGATTGTTTTAAGTTTATCCTGTGATAAAATAGTTAATTTCTTTTCCTCTCTTGTTAAAGAAAGAAGCCTCATGGTTTGTCCACTTGGATAACCCTTCTGGAAGATTTCTCTCCTGGATTGTGTCTTAGATTTCTTTCAATAAATATTTTCAAACATATATCAGCTTCACTAGTGTAATGTTTGCTATGTAAATAGGAGTTATAGAGTGATTTTGTGCATTTTTTCCTAGATGTTAAACTCCTTGTAAATACATACAAGATAGCAGACTTAATCATGGGATTGATATGGAAATGCTGGACTAAATTTAGACACAAGCTGCCTTATTATGAAATTTATCTGCTGCCCATCTCATATCCAATGACTCTTTTGAAGACTTTTGAAGTTCTTCATTAAATTTATGAGCAAGGGAATTGAGAAGATGATTCTTTTGAATTTCTCCAGAGGGAAGAGAAATTGTCCAATAATTTCCCAAGGATATGATTCCATTTTAAAAATGACTAGTAATTAAAAAAACCTAAGTGGATGAGTTCCATTATGACGCCGTATCTTTAGATCAAATCATGTAAAATTAGGGAGGCTATAGAATGCTGAAAAGATGATTGTGCAATAAAAGATATGATATTCATGTGCATTCCTGGGCCACCTTGTAATTAAATACTGTAAATGAAAAAAACACCACAGTCCATGCACATGAGAATACCTCTGAAATTCTCTTGGCCATTTCAAAAGCAAATTCCCTTTAATACAGCTGAAGAAGAACCAGCAGAAAAAATGCAGAGAATTTCTCTGCCTGGCACTTGAATAAATACACCTAAGAAACAAGTACTATCAACATGCTGAAAATGATTACTTATTATATTTGGCTAGGAATATCAAAGCATTTGTTGAAGACAGCTTTCAAGGGAAATTAAGTGATCTTTTAGGCAGCAATTCCATTTCTAACATATGCTCACAATTCAAAATATGTAATCTTCAAGAAACAATTAATATGTCTGCTGCAAATCCAAGACGACATTTTCAAGAGAATAAATGAAAGTCGCAAAAAGGAAAATAATTTTTGAATGAAAATTATTATACTCTCTTGGCTTCCTAATATTTCCTTAACAAGATAGAAAATAAATGCAACACACCCAGATTTATTCATATGCCTGAAAGGGGAGGATGGGAAATAATAAACTCCAATCATTTGGAATTTGAAAGAACAACACTTAGAAATATTTTGTAAAATGGTACTGAAGCCACACAGTATGAATTTAGAAAGGAATTAAAGAAAGAGTGTTTTGATGCAAACAATCTCAATTGATGATGCCCTCTGATTTTAGATAAAATACCTCTTCCCTAAAGATGTAGAAGACTGTCCTCTTCTAAAATAGTAGTGTAACAAAATGCATGGCAAGATCACTATTGGACACCCAGTTATTTGATGATTAAATTATTTGCGGAAATGCTGACAATCAAATACTAGTAGATTGTGGTGGGAATGGCTGCTGATCAGCTGAGGAATCCTCATCTACTGCTTTTACTAAACACAAGAAATGGAATTCTGCAGATTGTTTAAAGTCTTTTCTTTATGATTGGTGAATTTATCATCATTAAGTAGTTCCAGAATTAGCATGAGATTTTCAGATGGCTGGAATTTACTGTAATGTGCTCAAAAGGGCTTGATTTTCTCTTGAATCTGCTGAGCTGAACACTTTCTCTCAATTGGGAGAAAAACCTTTGTGAGTCTTCTGCCCAGTCCTTCCCCAGAGACCAGGACTTTGCCAGCAACAGTCTATCCCCTTCTTCCCCTCTTTGATCTTGGATGAAGCTGCCATTTGCAACCAGTTTTGCCTTCCTGTTCTTGAGCCTTGGGTAGAGCTCTTGTCCATCTGGGTCTTCACATCCATTCTTCCAGAGAAGTCATCTGTGGATCTTTCTTCTCCTTTCCCAACCAGGAACCAACAACTGCTCCACATGCTTAACTTCTCTCTCCAGGTTTTTTTTTCCTCCAGCCAAAATCATTCCAGGCAGACCTTTTCTCTCCTTCTGTCTTCAATTTTTAGGCTAGACCAGTGGAATATCCCCCAGCAACTGAGGAAGTGGGAGTCCTCTTAGGACTCTAGACCCTAACATCTATATAAAGGTGGGACCAATGGGACTTCTGCCTCAAAATCTTCCCATAGTAGTCGTGGTTAGGAGCCAGGTCAGCCCATTACACTTTGTGACACTGCAGCTGCCCTTCAAGGCCAGAATTGAGCTGCTTTTCCTTTTTTACTCACTTCAATGGCTGGCTTATGCCAGCAGAACAACAACCACACTAGGTCACTCAAGCCCAGATACTACAAACCAATTTCTGTACTTTGAGACATTCATCCTGATATCATGTGCATGAAAGTTTTATCATCTCAGTTCTGGGACCTGATGAAAGCTTTCATGCAAAATGATTCTTCATTGCATCCATACACATCCAAGGCAGAGATGTCTACTACACAAAATTATATATTAAAACTGTTCGGCTGAACCATAATGTATCTATTTTTAGTTTGTACGCATTAAAATTTGATAATGTATGTGTATTATAAATAAATATGATACATCCAATAGTGTCAGTGAGGTGGTTAAAAAAAAGCAAAATGGCCTATGTAGCCCCATGATAAAAGCCTTGCCCCTTTTGTACAATGTGAATACATGTATCAAAGGAGCAACACTTGCATTGTGATGCTATTATTTGCCATTATGCTTTTTTAAAACTCTTTTCCTATAAATGTTGCTTCTTTTAAGGATATCAAAAATGACAAGTTAATTCTATTTACCATATTTCCTAATTCAAGCCATATATGAACATCCAAGAAGCATGTAAAATTCATTTTTGTAAAATGCATTTGTAAAACAGATTTTTCTGTTTTAGTTCATTTTTATTATACATAAGTGTGGACCTTTAAGCCTTCCTGAAAATATTGGTCCTATATTGAAAATATAGGAATATCTTCCCCGACAGCTGAAATATTACATAATCCACATCATTTTCTGTTTATGTCATTATTTCAACATCTGCAATGTCTAGTGATATAAACCGTGCAGTCTGCTTGAAATATTCATCAGTGCAAAGTTGAATGCCAGTTCATGCTGCAATAATTCTATGAATGTACATATTCCCAAGATCAATCGTGCCACTCAATAAAAGCAACAACAAATACAACTCAATATTAATAACATATTGGATTATATAACCTGTTTCTATGAAATTTAGCTAATTATCAGCTACTGGCATAACATCGCTTAGTCACCAGGTTTTTTTAAAAAAAAAAATTCAGAGCCTGGGGCAAACAGGGGAAAATGAAAGTGCATGAACTTGCTGACAGGGATCCAAGTGACTGGGAACTCAGAAATTACTAAAAATGTGTGATGACATATTTGATTGAATCAACCTTTTTTTCCAGTAGAGAAATATGCTAGATTTTAAATTACATGCTTTTACAAATCCCTTGTTTACCTTTCTTGAATCATGAGTAATGTATTGGATGCATGAAAGAATGTCAAAGGTCCAGAAGCTTGCTTTCTTTTTAACAATAAAAATTAGTTACAACCTTCAAAAGGCTGAAGATCTTCTAGTTATTAATTTATTTACCACATGTACAGTATAAGCTACACCTGTATACTAGGATTATGAGTGGCAAATACAGGGTAAGGAGTTAAAATTATAGTTAAGTCCAAAGAAAGACAAAAAAAATTAAACACACAAAAGGACAAACTGGGGGTCTGCTGGAATAACACGAATATCTGGAAGGAGGCCATCCTCACCACTAGGGGTAACGAAGAGAAAGCCTCTTGTCCTACTTCTCATGGATCTTATCGAGGGGAGGTAGGTTGGCTCAACCTCTCTAGATGTTTGTACTAGCCAGCCACATACTAACTTGCCAAGATATTGTTCAATACAATCCAGTATAGGGCCAAGAAGGACTTTAAAATGACTAGCACTTTGATTTGGGTCTGAAGTCAGGTGGCAGCCAATTCAATTACTTCAGAATAGAGATAATTTTACTTACAGCATTGTCTTGTTAGGAATCTTATTACCAATTTTGAACCAGTTAATGATTTGGCTCTCTTTGGAGACTGCTTCTAATGTTGAATTTAAACTATGTGGCATGAAATAGCATATAGGTCTAAGATCACGGTGGGTGCATTGCCCCATCCAGTTTTTGACAATTGTCTACTGGAGTGTCCAAAGTTGTTTCTGTCCTACAACTGGGTCTGAAACTTGACTGGAAAGAATCAAAATAAAACTGTATTGTTAAAACTTCCAGTATTGTCTGAGATTGAACTGCTACCATGTTCTCCACAATCCTTTTCAGAAAAGGATGCTAGAGACTGACAAAATGTTGTCAGTGTAGACTGAGTCAAAGAAAGGTATATTCAGAAATTAAACTATTGTGTCTGCCTGCCATGGGCAATATCTTGCTCTCCTTCAAAGTGTTTGATTTCCCAAATCCAGCTGCACACATACTTGCCTGACCACACAGAGGAGACAGGAAGAGTACTGGTCAAGATTACTGATGGTAGCACTGTAACCACAGAGGACCCCGTCTGCATCTTCAGATTCCATGGTGTAAAAGAAGTCTAAATAATTTCATGAACATAGCTCCATTATTGCTGTGTAGACTACCGGTATGTCAAATCAGTGTCCAAAGCAGAGCAGACATGAGCAAATTTATCTGATAGGAAACTCACAAATTTTATTTGGCTGTTAAAAAAACCCCCAAGGATCTGGCTGGGGTACAACGCAGACATTTGCTTATACCACTGGCTGCCTCAGAAACTGGGATTACTGTTGTCCTTATCGTTGGGCACCTTATCTGACATGTTTGAGATCTTTTCCACAGAATTTTCTTGGTGAGTTTTTTGCGGAGTAGGTTGCTGCTTATTGATGAAATGGGACCACTGCAGCGTGTCATGAAACCATACAGGATGACCTAGTTCAATGATGGCGAACCTTTTAGAGACCCAAACTGCAACCCAAAACCCACTTATATATCGTCAGGTACCAGGTGGGTGTGGCTGCGGTGGTAACGGCAGACTGGGTGGGACTAAAAAATTCAATCAATCAATTCCAACTTTGCAAGATCTTTTTTTTTGCCCCGCAAGAAGTTGAAGTTGATTGATTGAACCTTTTTTTTTTTTTTGCATACCGTGGGGAAGGCCTAAACTGAAAAGGTTTTATGAAACCCAGCTGAAGGCCTAGGACTGGGGCGACGCCGTGCGTGCCCACAGAGAGGGCTCTGTGTGCCACTTGTGGCACGCATGCCATAGGTTTGCCACCATGGACCTAGTTAAAAGAAAGGCTTATGGTTACCTCAAAATATTATGGTTGTCATTTTCTACAGAAATTTTAACATAACATTAAATGTTTGCGCTATGTACTGTTTGCTTTTCCATATGTTATATGCTCTAATTTAGCACTTATGAAAAAGGTATGTTTATTTCTTTTTGATATCAACCATCTAGTTTTATTTTTTCCCTTAAGACTGCAATAATTGTTCTTGTAGTCAAATCAGTATTACTTCCTGATTGACTGTTTATGGGATTAACTAAAAGAAAGTGTATACTGGCAATGAAATCCTGAGCATGCTTACTTAGAAATAAATCCTACTGAGTTTGATGAGTCTTACATAAATACATTTACATAAAATTGGAGCCTAAAACTAGCATTTTGCATGAGCAGAGAAATAATTAAATCTGCTGCAGCAAAACTACTATTATCTGTTTTTCTGATAGTTTTGAATCTACTAAATGGATTTAATTCCACAAAAGCATACTATAAGAATTAGTTCTGTCATAACATTCTATGCATTTTACAAGCACAGCATTTTTACATGTTTAAAAATGTCTGCATACAAATCCCAGCACTTGGCTACAAAAACAACAGAATGCCAGAATTTTTGCGTTTTAAACAAAAAATCTAATAAAGCTAAGGGATCATCCACTCCTAATTATGAAAGTGGTGGAAAATAAAAAATATTCTTGGGTTCTTGCTAAGAAAAAAACATTAAGCTACAGTGGTAGGACTTCACGGAAATCTGACATCTTTTCTCACATATAGATAGTCCTTGTTTAACATTATAATTTGGATGGGCAACTGTTGCTGAGCAACACAGTTATAAAGCCTGTGCCAACTTATGATGGAAATTGCAGTAGTTCTGGTAGCCATATATAACAGAATTATATACGCCTGGATGTGCTTCCCCACTCTTTTTATCTTTGTGTGAATTAGGGAGGGCTTATCTAAGACATTTTCTCAAGTTTTGATTTTTGGAATAGGCCCTAGTCCAGTGATGGCGAACCTTTTAGAGACCGAGTGCCCCAAAACTGGCCCTGCCCCTGCTCCACCCCCCTGCCCCCCCACAGAACCACTCACCACTTCCAGGGCCCGCCGCAGATCGCCCAGGCAGCCCAGTAGTGCTATGGCAGCCACACCCTCTGCTCACGCCCCGCAGCATCAACTGCATGATGGGGTGTGAGGGCAGAGTCTTGTCTATGCTGCCTGGCTGCCATGTTCTTGGCTGTGCTGCTCCATGTGGGTCATGCTCGAGGGGGGCTGCTGGAGAGGAGGAGTTGCAGGAGGAGGCAAGGCTGGGGCAATGGCACGTGTGCCCACAGAGAGGGCTTTGAGTGCTACCTCTGGTACCCGTGCCATAGGTTTGCCACCACTGCCCTAGTCTCTCTTACCTGACCATAGTCTTGGCAAAGGATCTTCCCTCTGTCCTTCAAGGCCATTCCCTGTGCCAATAAAGAAGAATATTTGTAGCTCAGGGTTGAAATGAGGGTTCCTTAACTACTCTCTGGCTATTTTCTTGCAGACATTTCATTACTCAAACTAGATAACCCTCTGGAGCACTGATGATTTTACAAGTACTCAAAAAGCACCAAGGACCCCTCATTCCCTGTGCCATCTATAGATGGCTGGTGAAAGTCACTAATCAATCCCCAGATAAAAATGGCCTGGAAACTTGATCATTTCCTTCCTCCCCCCCCCCAGGCCTCTTGCTCTGCTACTGCCTTTTAAGTTTTCTTCAGGTTTTCTAATTGCCCTGGAATTACTGAAAATAAGAATATTTAAACGAGTCTATTTTGCATACTAGCTATTATGCAGATTGGAGAAGCTGTATAGGAAGTTATTTCGCTGGGTGGAGAGAAAAGCACGGGCAACTGATTCAGAGACTTCTCAACGGCTCCAGCAATTCCAGAGATGGAAGAGGTATTTCTGAGGGATGAAGCACGGCAAGGATGAAGGTCTGAGGAACTCCGGCTTCTTAAACGAAGAGGAGGATTTTTCTGTCCTTCCTCAACGTAGCTTCCTAGACGGGATATACATCACTCAGCACACAGAGCAAACCGTACATCTACCGGTCTACCATTCCCAATCGTCAGCGGAGCAAACCTGCCAGCGCGTTTAAAAAAAAAACACCTTTCCACACCGCGTTCTCTCCGCCGCCGGGCACGAGAAGACGTTCTCCTTCCCGCCTTTTTCATGGGCTGGCCAATCACGCCGCGGGGCGCGCGGAAAAACCGTTGGGCGAAGAACTTCACCTCGTGATGCCACAAGAGAGCTCCGCCCCTTTCTTCGCGCGCTCGCTTTTTTTTTGTTTGTTTGTTTGTGTTAGGGCCGGGCGGCAGGCTGAGGCGGCGGGGTCTACGGGGTTGACGCTCCATCGCCTCTGGCTGGACCGGGGGGGGGGGGGGAAATATGCCGCGCAAGGAACCGCTAACCCCGTTGCAAGAGAGGAGCGAGGCGGGAAGCTCCATGAGGAACTGCCGTGCACCATGGAGACCAGATATCCTTGCTCTCTCTCTGCCTCTCGGTTCCCACGCGTGGCTGAAGAGCCCTGTGGGTTTAGCGGCTTTGCCGTCTGTGGAGATGGACCCTGTCCTATGAATTAGCAACTGGGTGAGGTTGTAGAGCCTAAACTTTCCTTCTAAACTTAGTGAATTCATCCTTGAAGGGGAAGAAAGGTCCGCCGTGTCTTCCTTGGCATCGAAATAAATACCTTACTTTGCTTCTTGTCCCTTGGGAGACATATTTCTCCCGTGTGCCGTTATCCCTCTTTAACAGGAACAATAAATACCTGCCATCTTTTCTTTGAAGAAGGAGCATCGGGCAGCTTGTTAAGGGAGTGACTTATTATGGTTGGTCACAGAATCAGCCAGATGTTTAGACTGGATTTGACCTTATTTTCCCCAGCCAATCCTTTCCAAGGACATGGATGATCTTTACAGATCGTCCTTGACTAACAACAGGTTGTTTAGTGACTGTTCGAAGTTACAAGGGCATTTAAAAAAGCAATTTAATGACCATTTTTCACTCGACTATTGTTAGTGTCCCTGAAGTCATGTGATCAAAATTAGGACACGTGGCAACTGATTCATATTTATGACAGTTGCAGTGTCCATGTGATCACCTTTTGCAACCTTCTGACAAGCAAAATCAATGGGGAAGTAGATCACTTAACAGCTGTGTCAATAAACAGTTGCAGGAATTTGCTTAATAACAGGCAAGAAAGGTCGTAAATTTTGGCTCAATTGTGGTCATGTTGAGCAGTGCCTGTACTATTATTAGATTTGTGTGCTGCGTTTCTTATACATAAACTCAGTGTGGTGAATATATATAATACTCCTTCCTCTCCTATTTTCCCCCAAACAACAACCATGTGAGGTAGTTTGGACTAAGAGGGTGACTAACTCAAAGTCACCTTTCTGCCTTTCATGCCAAAGGGATCATTTATTGCTCTGATCACAGCTTTTTTTAGTAGAAACTTACAGTTGGGGGTGTGTGATACATTCCTTATCTCCATACTCTAAAACAAAGGCATATAAATTTAATAAAAATCCTTGCACTCTAAAGTGGGAGGATAAAAAATTGCTGTCTTCCAGATTATTTTATTTATTTTAGATTTTTCTTATCCTATATTATTTTTTATAAATAACCCAATGTGGTGAACATACCAAATACTCCTTATTTTCTCCACAACCCTGTGAGATGGGTTGGGTTGGGTTGAGAGAGAGTGATTGGCTCCAAGTCACCCATCTGACTTTCGTGCCTAAGGTAAAACTAGAAGTCATAAGTCTCCTGGTTTCTAGCCTGGTATCTTGACCACTAGACCAAACTGGCTCTAGTGTATCCATAATACATGCTTCAGGGAAATAATCACCAAAAGGTTAAGAGTGCACTGTTGACTACATTATTTAGAATGTATTAATTCAAAGCTGGATTTTGAAGTGAATCGTTCAAATGTCATTGATTAATCCTGTGTATAAAGAGGTATTTTTGTATGTAAAATGCATAGGTTTTGCTTCTCCTTTTCAGTCTGTATAAACCTTTTTGAAATACATTTTTGTTATTCGCTGGCTGTAACCTTTTTTTTTAATTTGGCTATGTTTTTCAAGGTTCAGTAGTTTTCAGCATTTAAAGTACTGCCATATATAATAAAGCATTCTTAACTGCTGTCCTATTGAAATGCCCATTTTAAGCATCTTGGAATCAGACATCTTTATATCTAGGTTATCTGCAGATTTAACAATTTGGTATGTATATTTCAGCTTGGCACCAAAACAAAATGAGAATTATGATTTATATTTATTTCTGATTCCCTTAACCAGCTTTTCATTTACATGGTTTTTAAGCATTATCCATGACAGGTTTAGAAAAGGAAAGATTAATTTGGAAACTACCCTGGAACTTCTTAATAAATTTGACATTCCTTTTGATTATATTCATGTGAAATACATTTTTAAGGTGAGAAATTATTATTTAATCATTTTAGAAGTAATAATAACATGCTTTTATTTTTAAAGATAAATATATAACATGCTAGCTAGATATTTACCAATTTAGTTATCATATCCTTCAGTGATCATTGGGGCAGTGGCAATTATTTTGTGGGACAATTGTGTGTTTCTTACAGTGCCATGTATGATAATTAAATATCAGAAAGAAACCAATAGACACACTAAATATCCATGGTAAATTGGTGGAATATCATGCAAGCAGTATTGGCAGTGGCCACAATTTAAAATTATTGTATTAGTTAATTTAGTGCAGTAGCTGTATATATCCAATCATAAATCCTAATTAGAAGTGCCCAATTTAATCTCCTTTTGCAAAAACAATCATAGAGGTACTCTGTATCAGGGCCACAGTACTGAGATAGAGTTGAGCAGTTGAGCAGTGCATGCTCAGTGAAGGTAATGTAGGGCTTTCTTTGTTAGCCAATAAAAGACTGGCATTGTGTTCTCTCTAAAGGGAAGTCCTAATCCACCTTTCCAGAAACAGACTGATTTGTGAACTTTGCCTTTTTAAGTGTGGTTAACAGTAATTTCACCAAACACCCACTAAAGCAGTGGTTCTCAACCCGGGGGTCGGGACCCCATTTGGGGTCGAATGACCATTTCACGGGGGTCGCCAAACAACGCAGTCCGCCATTTTTCCCCCCTTTTCCTTAGCTGTGCTACTCCCTTTTATTCTATTGGTTTTCGAAAACCAATAGAATAAACTCTCTTGAATAGAGTCTAATTCTATTGGCTTTCAAAAGCCAATGGGAATTGTCCAGGCTGTCTCTGCCCTGCTGAGCCCGCCAAAAGTCCCATTCTGCAAAGGGTGCTGCACCAGTAGAGTAGTCCTCGACTTACGACCGGTTGGGGGTCGCGGCATTAAAAAGGTTGAGAACCACTGCACTAAAGTAACAGAGCTGTTGGTCTTTTCTGCTCTAGAAGCCTCACTGCTTTAAAAGAGAACCACCTACTGAGCTGTTCTATCAAAAGAGTTTGGAAGTTTCAATATTTATAGATTGCTTACATTTCTTAGTATAGGTGGTCCTTGACATACAACTACAATTCAGAATAGAATTTTGGTTGCAAGCAAGGCAAAGAGAATTGCACCTGATTTTATAAACTTTTTTTTTGCCACAGTTAAGTGAATCATTGCAGTTAAAAGAAGCAACATGATCATTAAGCAAATCTGGCTTCTTGCACTGACTTTGCTTATGGAAAGCCAGTTGAGAAGGTTACAAATAACGATCATATGACCCCAGGATACTGCAACTGTTGTAAATTCAAACAGGATACTAAGATCCTGAATTTTGATCACATGATCATGGGGATGCTGTGAAGATGTAAGTGAGAGGACTAGACATAAGTCACATTTATTTCAGTGCCTTTGTAACTTCAAATAGATGCTAAATTAATAGTTGTAAGTTGAGGACTACCTGTAAGCAACAATCCTCTAAGAGCTTCCTTTAAAACTTTACACCTCTGAAAGGATAGTATATCCACATTGTCACTTTGATGACATTGCTAAAATAACTGAAGGATAATTAATTAACCTTAAACTATTAACTATAACTGATAAAATTAAATATTTTAAAAATAATTTAAATATTCTAAATATTTCCTTGAGGTAAAAATCTTTTATTTATAATATGTTCTGAAATAAAATATTCTGTTATGATAGAGCCATTCTTTGTCTTACCTTCTGCGTGTTAGAAATATATGTGCATTTAAGGGTTTTTTTTAACAAAAAAAAATTGTTGAAAAATAGTAGCAGTCTTATAGCATGGAGAAATTAGTGCTAATGAAATCAGCAAGCCATATTTCTAGATAATAATAGATAGATAGGAGTCCTGGTGGAGCAATGATTAGAATGCATAATTGTTGACTAACTCTGCCCACAGTCTGGAGTTCGATCCTGACAGACTCAAGGTTGACTCAGCTGAGGTTGGTAAACTGAGGACCCATATTGTTGGAGACAATATGCTGATATTGTAAAACAGGGGTGTCAAACTGCCGGCCCATGGGCCGGACATGTCATCCGGAAGCCACGCCCACCCCATTGCCAGCAATGGCAAAACTGGCCCGATACGTTGCGCGACGTCACGTGATGTCGCAAGTTTGACATGTCTGTTGTAAACCATCGAGAGAGTGCTACAAAGCACCATGGGGTGGTATATAAGCCTAACTGCTATTGCTGTTGCTATTGCTAGATAAAATAAGGAGTGCATTGTAGATAATATGATTAATTTGTTTAAATGGCTAAATATAATCAAAATCGTTTGGGATGAATTTTTTAAAAACTGATTTAGATTTTACTTGTCAGAACCCTTAAAAATTATGACCTGGATCCATCCTAGTTAGACTGAAAACAGCAGATAGTTGTATTAAAGTCCATTCCTTGAGTCAGCAGAAAAGTATTCTAATTCTGCCACAATAATGAGGCCAGTTTTGTTACAGGACAGAGAAAGGAAGGTGATTTCCCTCTCACTGAATAGCACTTGCTAGTGGGATAAAAGCCACTAATTGCTTTTTTTAATGGGAAAGGGGCTGAGGGAGGAGGTAGATTTGAATCTGACAAATTCATGGGTTTAGCTACTGATTTGTGGGATGGATGGGGCTGTCCTCTTTAA